ATTTTTCTACTATATTTTTCTACCCCCTCCTCCTTTCCCCCTCACATCCCTCCTCCCCCACCTCGCCTCCTGTCCTCACACCCTTCTATCTCCTTCCACATCTCTCCTCCTGATCTCCCTCATCTATTTTCCTTCTACACTTTCCCCGTCTCTCCTCCTTTCCACATCTTTTCCCACCCCCTCCATCCATTTTTGCATCTCCTTCATCTTCTGTCCCACTTTCACTCTTCTGCTCCCCCACCCTGCTTTCCACTCCCTCCTCCATTCATCTTTCTTCCCACCTTTCTATCTCCTTCCACATCTCTCCTCCTGATCTCCCTCATCTATTTTCCTTCTACACTTTCCCCGTCTCTCCTCCTTTCCACATCTTTTCCCACCCCCTCCATCCATTTTTGCATCTCCTTCATCTTCTGTCCCACTTTCACTCTTCTGCTCCCCCACCCTGCTTTCCACTCCCTCCTCCATTCATCTTTCTTCCCACCTTCCTTTCTTTCCTCTATCAGTTTCCTGTTCTCTTCCCATGTTTCTGCACTCAGCAATCCCCCTTCCTACTTTTTTTTTTCCTGACAGGTGTCTTTTCTTTTCGCCTTCCAATCTGCTACAACTTTTCCCTGCTATTTGCTCACCCTTGGTCTACTCTCTCACCCCCTCTGCTATTTTTTCCCCTGTCCCCCTTCATACAGACTCACAAGACCAAATTCAGGGATGTAATATAACTTAAATTCCATTATACTAATTTAGACTTCTGTAGACATTGGTACTAGGGATGTTAAATATCGGTTAATTCACTAGTCAATTAACCTCATGAATTCTTGTCAGTTAGTCGACTATTCTATAGTCCCTGGACAGCCCCTGTCTGGAGGGAAGGGGTCTGAGCTCCCAGACCTGGCACAAGGCAGAACTGAGCCAGGCTGCTTGCCCACCTGGCTCCTAATACACTTTAAAGGCAGAGCTGCAGCGAGGTAAGTCCAGGACCCAGTGCAAGCCAGGACTGAGCTGGGCGGCTGGCCAGCCTGCTAAAAAGTGTACTGGCAAGGGGGAAGAGGGGGGAATGCATGTAGTCTATAGCATTAACCTATAAACTTTTCCTTATTGGTTAATCGACTACACTATTACATCCCTAATTGGATGTAACTTGAAATGTGTGTGTGTAAAACTGTATGAGCATAAAGGCATCTAATATGCATTACCACTACATTTGGCAGGCTCAGATGAGGTATGAAGCAGGGAAGGTATTTGCCCAACATCACATAATAAGTAGCAGAACCAGGAATAGAACCTGGCATCCTGACTCCTAGTTCCTTAAATCATCATAGCAAATGCCAAGAAGACACAGCCTCCTTGCTGATGATATGCCACCTAGATCAATCTGTGGCTACATATTTAAGGTGGCTTGGCTAGATATTCAGCTTGTTCATCACTAGCAATCTTAGTGCACCACCAAAGCTTTTGGCACCTAAGTGATCATTAGCAGGATAGTGACATTCCTTTGTGCATGTGCTTCAGAATTCATTGGTCTTTCATTCCAACAATATACTCATGCCAAGAAACCTGCCCAAACTGAATAAGTGCGGATGGAGGTGACTGCTGGGTTTGGCTTTTATCTTGTCCTGCCATGTGATATGGAGTAGCCGATGAAGATGATGAGAAGTCCCCTAAGTGCTCTGAACTAAAATGCTGTTATTAATAGAAATGTGAAAGGTATTGTAAGCAGTGTGCCAGTTCTGTACAGTGCTTTTCAAATGTGAAAGTTACAACCTGGAGGGGAAAAGGTGGTTACATGTCACTTTTGTTCCTCCCTAATTCTGGGCTGCTCCAGATGCTAGCATGGCCCTAGTACAAATTAGATCAATGGTTCTCAAACCAGGGATTGCAACCCATCCAGGAGTTGTGAGGTTATTATGACAGGATTGAGAATACATGCATGAAGCAGAGAATAAGTGGTATAAAATATCTAATTTAAATCAGGTATTTTAGAAAATTACACACACCTTTCCATCACAATGTGTTTACTTCACAAAGTACTTCATAATACACTGTAAACTATAATGCAGTGATTGTTGTTCTTTGAATATATATATATATATATATATATATTTTCAAAGAACAACAATCACTGCATTATAGTTTACAGTGTATTATGAAGTACTTTGTGAAGTAAACACATTGAGCACTTCAGGGAAATTGAACTCAGGATATTATGCACACAGGTTTGTTGTCTTGGGACTAAAAAGGTGGGACTGGGAAAAAATTAGAGGACTTGATTGTGCAGCAGTTGAAGTGCTGCATTAAGCTGGAGACCAATCAGAACACTGAGATCTGCAAAAAAGTGATTTATAATTTAACAGACACACAGGCAGTAGTGATATGGGGGAGAGGGCACGAGGAGGCTTGCAAGGGCCCCATCCTTATAACCACACCTCCCAGCAAAAATGACAAATGTTAGGCCATAGTAAGGGTGGCAAGGTATGAGAGTACCACCCTTACTTCTGTAGTTCTGCACTGGTGTTGGCACTACCTTTAGAGCTGGGTGTCTGGACAGCAGCTGTCATTCTCTAGATGCCCAGATCCTAAAGCAGTGCTGCTGCCAATAGCAGCAGCACAGAAATAAGGGTGGCAGGAGCCT